TGTTGTTTTAATTAGAAATGTTAAAAAGCTTATAAATATATATTTTTAAATTTGACATAAAAGATGACACTTTTAATAAAGTTAGAAAAATGTCATTACAAAGGTAAAAACAAAATTCCCTGTAAATCACTTTAAGGAGTCAAATATCACCTAGTAATGGGAAGGTTAATTTTTTTATCAGAATTGTTTTATTACTGATTAGAAGGTGCTCCTAAATTTTTGACCGTGCTCCTAAATTTTTTAAATTAGGAGCACAAGCGCTCCTAAAAAGAAAAGTAAGCGTAGAGCCCTGCCAGTAGTAGTTGTAGTATAAATTCTCATTTAACAGCAGGAATTTGGATCAGTTACTTATGTTTAATATCAGGAGTTCATGTTCACATCTCCTGAAATCATTGTTGGGGTATAGACTGATATGTAGATAGAATTATAGCTCATAGGGAAAGTGACAGGTATGTCAACAGCCTGAAACCGTTGGGTAGGGCTGCACGATATATCGTTTCACCATCGATATCGCAGTGTGTGCACTGTGCACTGTGACCATGTAAACGTTTGGATTTATGCCGAACAAAAATAGTACGTGAGACCATAAATTTGAATTCTGTTTGTGGGCTGGTCACTCATTGTTACAGAAAGCATTGTTAGCCAAAATTTTGTTTTTTTGTCGTTCGAGAAATGTCAGTCTGCTCAAGTAATTTGTTGACATATAATGGTTACAACTGTGCACAGCAGCTGTTTGATAGAAATATATTTTCTCATTAGTTTTAGTCTTTATCTCTTGTAATATTCATAGTTTGTGCCTGTTAGACAAGGTAAGGCAGTCAAGTTTGTTTGTACGGAGCCCTGGACATGATGTGTGTGTGTGTGGGGGGGGGAGAGAATGAAGGATAATGTGGTCACGAATAAAGAATTTGTTCCCTCATTTTAGTTAAATCATGGCCAAACTATGAATTAGAAACTTCCACAAGAATGCGATAAGTATGTGTTTTTGGATGCAGACACTGTCTTTATGAATGGATCATTGAATAATTGGTTCATGCGATTCTTCCAAAAACAGATTTGTTCAGGAACGAAACATAGCATTGCTGCCCTGAGACACACAAATGTTCTGCTTCGTCTTTGTTTGGAAAAATTTTTGTTGCCAAAAAAAAAAAAAAGTACAATATTGTGTCTAAAATGTAACTCGCTCAATATTAATGACTTGTTTGTTGACACTTGTCACATTTGCGATTGCACTCGCACACTGATATTCTGGAAAACTGCACTCTTGCTTGTGTGATAGTACTTTATATCATAGCTAATAAAAAAAAAATCCTACTTGGGGATATTTTTGCTTTCATACCTTGAATTATATGCTTATTCTAACTGCATTCTGATTAGGTGTTCTTTTCTTTTCCAACAGCCCACTGTTTGTCACTTGGAAAATCGGCCGGGACAAGCGGTTAAGGGGTTGTATAGGTACATTTTCTGCCATGAACCTGCACTCAGGACTCAGGGAGTACACCCTTACCAGGTATGCCACATCTGTCTTTGAAATTCTGCTTTTCTCTCTGTAATGTGTCTCCATATCATGAAATAACATGTTCAAGCTTGCTTATTTATTTTTTGGGGGTTCCAGCTCCCTTTCTATTATTTAGTTAACACATTGTCCCACACCAAACTCACACCATTGGTTGAGCCTGAATTTTTTTTCTTAAATATCTTTCAGGGCTCAACGCTAAGGATTTTTTTTACTTGCCCTGCCAATATTTTCACTGGCCCTGCCACACACACACAAAAAAAGTTGCTGTTATCATTGTTTTTGACCTATTCTAACGTTTGTTCTAATAAATAAGCTTATATGACACCAAAATTTTAGATAGCAATTAAATTTTACTACTCTTGATTCCAATTTCAATACTACAGGCCTAACAGATATAGTTCAAACATTATTAAAGACAAGTGAACAGTCAGTAAATAAGAACAAATGAACAAATTACAAACAATAGCAGAACTGAATATATAGAAGAAAGATACAAATGAAAGGATGCTTTAGGAAAAACAGCAGACGGACTGAATGAGATGCAGATTCACTCTCTGACAGCAGGTGGCACTTATGGAACAGCAGCGATACAGCGTTTCCTTGGTTACCGCTGTAAACAAAGCTTATTAATACTACTTTAGATGCAATATGAAAAGAAAACGTCATGTAAACTTTTCTGAAAACAGTCACTTCCCCACAGAGATACATGCAGATAAACCCCCAATTCAATATTCAGGATTTTCTTCCAATATTTTGCGCATTGTGAACAGTGAGTTTGCTCTGCCTGCTACAGTATTTTTTATCTTTACGTCCGTCTTCAGTGTCTCTGGCCTGTGTTAATGGCCATTTACAGTCTTCTTATATTTCCACACATTTTGGAAAATGATTGCATGCAGTTTGTGTGCAAGCCCGGAACAGAGATTGGTTGAAATAAAGCGAAAAATGTCCGATTAATCATAGATTAATCATTGTTAAAGCTAGCTTCAAAGATACTCGCCAAGATGGATATTTTGGCGTACTTTTGTATGTATCTGTCCGTTCAAGTGCAAGAAGGCGCCGAAAGAAACTCAATTGGGTTTTCGCACATTGCGACATCTCTCTGTGTGCACGCTGTGAGTACTAAATGGAGTTGTCATTCGCGTCTTGCCTGAATGCTTGAAAATCGCTTGATTTTTTTATTTAGCAAGGCTTTAAAACGCGTGCAAATGATAAACTTTCGTGACAACGAAGTGACAAGTTCCCAGTGACAAATTCGTCAACTGTCCCAAGCATCTTTCACGCTGGCCCCGGGCCATCAGGCAGTCCTTATTGTTGAGCCCTGACTTTTAAAAGCACCATAGTGTTTATACCAGGGCTGTTAAAGGCTGTGTTGAAACTGCAGGAAAAAGTGGCCCAAATCTGAATTTTGTGAGTCACAAATGAGACTTAGATAAGTATGAATTGCACAAACCACATGAAATCTGACATTTTATTTTGATTAGTTATTACTCTCATAAAAACACCAGTACTTGCATTACATGTCGAATTTTTAAATTAATTTAACACACAACAAATATTGTAGCTAAATTAATATTTTTCTGCTCCACATTAATAGCACTCCATCTCTACTGACAGGAATAATAATAATAATAATAAATTGTGAGTCTCACATCCAGCATACCATTTGTTTTTCTTTTTGTTGTTGTTATTTTTTTTCCACAAACCATCTTGCAGGCTGTACTGGACTCATCCACCGGTTTACACTTTTCATGAGGAAGTCAATCTGCAGTTGGCTTACTTGAAGTTGCCTATGCACATTAACTAACACTTGTACATGCACTGCCTATAAAGAATATCTTAGACATCTCTTTCTCAAGCAGTTGCTTGACCTTGCTTCCAAGCTAGTCATGAATGGTAGAATGTAGGGATGTAACGATTCACTCAACTCACGATTCGATTCACGATTTTTTTTTAACAAAAAAAATTTTTT